TATGAGACGCTCATTAACAAAGCAAATGAAGAAAGTCAAAAGTGTGTAAGTCGAAATGACGGACGAGACTCACACACGGCCAGCGCACCACCAAACCAAAGCACACCACATCAGCCGCCCAACACCCACCAAATGCGACAGACACCTGCACAGCTGCTCTGAGCAAACATCATTTAAATTTAAAGCCTCAACAACAACAACAACAGCTGTGAAACAATGTGACTAGCATATTTTTGAGATGCGCTGATGGCATCACATAATAAACACTTGCCCAGGATTATCTGCATAGAATGGCTTTATGTATGTTTGGTATGCAAAAAATACTGTACATATGTTTATGAAAAAACGTATACTTCTTTGTTTATAAAAAGGTTTTTGCCTGAAAGCCTTTGTCTCTCTGGCTTAAAACTTGTTATTTAGATTTAATTCTTTATAACAATAAATAAATATATTTGAATTTAAAAGACAATTAACATTATTTATTAAATTGTATGTATTTTATTTTGTATTTTTATTAATGTCTCCGAGGTGTTTTTTTTTATAAATCAATATTTATTTACATACATTTTATTTAGTATTTTTTGTATACCAAGCAATGATTGTATTATTATGCCTCTTGCTATTATTGTTTTACTTGATGGAAAATAATATTATAAAGTCGAATAATTTAATGATAATTCCATATATTCAAATTTTTTTTAATACATATATCAATATAAATATAACAATAATATATGAAAATAAATATATATAAATTCATGATGTTATTACTGACTGAGAGAAGACTCAGAGAGCGAGTGATGCTGTCGTTCGCGATCGGGCAGAGCCCGAGTTGACTTTTCTCTGGTTGAATTCGGTGAAGCACAGGTCTTTTGTGTGTGTATTGGTACAAGGGTTTTGCTCGCTATCTCATATCAATTGTGTACGTAAATTGTATATATTAATGTGAAGACCATTTGCACATTTACTGAGTCGGAGAATTAATCGTATCTCTCCCTATGTGCGTGGCTCGTTTAAAGAGTGTCTTATGAAGAGTCCAATTCAAGGCGCTCAACAGAAAACAAAAACGAAAAGAAACGAAGGCGATTGAATAGAACAAAGGTGATTTTATAATTCTGACTCTCGCCGCTACATCAGAAGAGATGCTGCTCTGTTTACAAATTCTCACAGAATTATTAAAATGGAACTGACTTCACTCTATTTTTCAATGCACTAATAAATGCCTTTAATAAAATTGTATCGAAATGTTTATTTTGTTTATAAAAGCTTTTAATTAATATTATATTTAAACTTACTTAGAGCTTAAGCATTGGCAACTGGTATCTTAAACATACAACTAACTCATAATGCCAGATAACACTTTTACACAATTTATTTCACTTTCTTATCCTAATTTATACATCAAGAACTTACTTTAATTACATTACATTATAACAATTTTCTAATAATAATATTTGCCGCTCATCTCTAATTCACATATGTCTGGCATACCTGTATATATATATATATTTGTAGGTCTGTTGCAAAGCTCTGCACGTGTCTGCAAAATGGAATGAATGGAAAATCCTTTTGTGCAAGCAACAAAAAAAAAAAAACACAATTTTTATGTTTTTAAATGAAAATATACGCCTCGGAATTTTACATAATTAACTCACAATGTGAATGTGTGTGTTTGTGTGTGTGTGTGTGTGTGTGTGTGTGTGTGTGTGTGAGTGTGTGTTTGTATTTATGCAAGAACATAAAAGAACAGCCCCACCTCACTGAACACGTGTGTGTGGGTGTGTGTGAGGCATTTAAGCAGAAAGGAGCTACAGACAACAACAACAACAACAACATCAGCAGCAGCACGAGTAACAACAACAACAAGAACCCGTTCACCAATTCCCAGAGGACTTAAGTTAATTATCACATTTTTTACACACAATTTTACTTTGCATTGATGCGTTACTGTGGGCGTTACAGCTGGGGGCATGGCTAGGGCGCACATTAAAGCGTAATTATGTGTATAATTTGGCTGTAATTTGCTGTAAAGCACATGATACGCGCGCGATTAAACAGCTCCCAAAAAGTTAAAACAGCTAATTAATATGTAATTAAAAATCATTCAAAAATTCGATTTTGTATTTTGCATAAAAGAAAATACGAGCCATTCAATTTGAGTTAAATATATATGCATATATATACATATATAATATTATGCTTTCAGCAAAACCCAAAAGCACCTATTTTACTCTCTGTCTCTTTCCACTCACCTCCCTCTCTCCTTCTCTATCTCTTTCATGAGAAGCGTGTGTTTGACTCTTTTGGCCTTCTTATCAATGTTAACAATTTGCAAATGACTTTCACTTTAATCGCGAGGACTGCGCAATTTGTAGCCAATGTGAATAACAAAAAAAGTAAAAAACAAAAACAAATAAATGGAATTATTTTCAACAAACATGCTCGTAAGCACTCATTCGAAATTCCATCGAGCGCGCTAAGTATGTAGGCTGGCCACGTGCTAAGTTCCCATAAAATGCACATTAGAACGAGTTGAAATGCATCGCAATAATGTGATGGACCGACAGATGCCCTATAATTTTCAAAATGGATATAAGTTTTTATAGAAGTACATATTATAACAGAAACAGATTGCTCTTTCCGATATAGCTTTAAGAAGGGTTAAGAGTTTGGTATAATATAAAATAAAAGAAGAAGTATAAAAATTCATCTAAAATGCTATCAGTTGTCAGAATATATAAAATATTATCCGTATATATATATAGTACTCTGCGATGTTATTGAGTTTCAGTAAACAATTTGTTGAGCGCACAAGACAGAAAGAAGAGTTAAAGAAAAGTCAAATATAAATATATTTTCATTCATTCTAATTTATTAAACAATTTCTTATAAAGCTAAACCTCTTCCTAGACTTCTCCGATTCCTCTTTTAAACTATTCTAGCCAATTCGTAGTCAAAACCTCCTTCCATCGCTATAACAGCGTATGGCCAGGGTATTTAGACAAACGTTTGGGCAAGTGTAGCCAGGAAATGGCATCGGGAGCAGGATCTTCGCGCATTACATTAATATTTATCAGCCATGCAATTACGATTAGAGCAGACAAACTATTGACTGAGCCTCTATGGCTCGGTGGGTCTATGGCTCGTTTGCGGGAGAAGCGCCAAAAAACATGGCAGCCAAATTGTCAGACAAAGCGATGCGATTGCCTGGCACAATTTATTGATTCGACGCATTGAAATAGTTCTCAGCGGAGCCATTTCAAAGATTTGTACGACAACATTTTTCGCCAGTTCCTGTGTTTCATTTTTTTCTCGGCATTTTTTTGTTTTTGTTTTTTGTTTTGCGTGCCTTTTCGCTGAAATAGCTGAAAATTCTAACAGACGCGCATAAAAATTCGAATGCGCGTAGTTAAACGCCCATGCACACGGAAGGCTATGTTATAAAGTGGGCGTGGTAGCGGCTATTCAATGAGACAAAGCGCAATTCAAGCCAGCATATTGGGATTTCGACCGTTCCTAAATCGTTTTTTCTTCTTTTCGCGTATTCTCTTTGGCAAGGGGATCATTTAGGGGCGGAGGAATGAAGCTTTTGACTGCTGTGTGTCGCCTGAACGATAAAGCAATGACAAAAGTCACAGCGATTAAAGTTCAATTGCTGTAACTATCGACCATTAGAAATTTTGTCGAGCGCAAGGGAGAAAAAAACAGATTATATTCGAAGTTTTTTGCTGCATGAAAATAACTTTTATTTATTTTATTGTTTGGAGTGATAATTATGTTGTGTGAACATAATTTAAATGTGTTAGTCGTGCACTTAAATACTAAACATAATTTAAGTAATATTAAATATACATGTTTTATTTTTATTTTTTAACAAAGTCAATTATGCGAGACCAAAAAACTAAAAATTCTATTTGTAATATTTAAAACGTTTATATTTATTAATTTTCATAAATAAAATTTTAATTTAATAAATTAAAATAAATAAATAAATAAATAAAATAAAGCTAAAAAAATTCTTAAAAAATAGAAAGCAATGCTAATAAATATTTGATATAACATGAATTATTTCTGTAAAGCAAAACTGTTATAATAAAAAAAAATAAATAAGCAAAATCAGGTAAACAGTAATAAACATATGTATATTGTAATATTACAAAAATTCAATAAATAAAAATATAAAAAATACTAAGACAAAAATTAATTAAAAATCAATCTGAAATTAATCTAAAAATCAGCAGGTAACATGTATTGTATTAATACAAAAAAAAAAAAAATTAATAAAAAGAAAAATAATGAAATAAATAAAAAAATAACTGTTTATTCACAATAATATTAATTATAACAATAACAGAAAAAAATAAATAAATAAAAAAGAAAAGTTAAAAAAATATATATAATAATAAAGTATAAATTAATAAAAGTAAAGTACAATATTCATATGCAAATTTAAGTGCTTTCCTTATCAATATGTATGTGTAGTAGAGGAGGTCAAGAGAATTATAATTTTAATTTGGCTCGAAATTGTGAAATATAAATATGGAATATATACATACATACATATGTATATATTTAATTATTGTTCAGTTTCAGTACGTTTTGCTGCAGCTGCAGCTTGTCATTTATATTTATGTATAAGTGCCATAAGAGCAGATAGACGGATATTGCATAGACAAATATATTTAATTTAGCACGGAGCTAATTGAAAGCGAAAGTCCTAATGATGTTCTTCGGAGATAAGTGCTTTAACTGCTTTTACTTCGTGTACATGTCTCAATTAAAAATGTCAACTCTCAAATGACAAAACTCACTGAAAGTTTGAAAAACACTTAGCTCGAATAAACGCAATTAAATTATTCATACAGCTACGAATCTGGTTTCAAAGATCTTCCGTTCCGCTGCAAGGCCATGTAAAATTTCGCTATTTATTGAGCTCTAATCGCTTGGCAGCTGATGCAATTCAAATGTCAATTGCATTGATTCATTGATATAGTAAATCAAATCCCCTTCGATCTGATGTGATCTGAACTGTTCTCTGCCTCTGCCGTCTGCTGTCTGCTGTCTCAGTAAACAATGTATATGCAGGTATGCTGGCAATTATGAAACGAATTACAGCCAAAGGCGAATGGAACTAAAAAATAAACTAACTACACATACGATGCGAGTTCAAGTCGACTGACAGCCTCACGATTTGCGCTGTCACCAATTCAAGTTATTCAGCACACACACACTTTTTTCTCTTTCAGCGGCTAATTGCATATTTCGGAAGTTCGATAAAGGCATTGAAGGTGGACGAATTCTAACGGTGTCCATTAATTAACCTCTAAAAGGCAATGCCAGCCACCGAGAACAATCTCTGAACTGAACTGAGCTGTTGCCGAGCAGCCAACTAACTGGATTAGTCTGCAGCGAGAACAAGATAATATATACTATATGACTAAATAGCGTATGTCTAATAGATGCTTATCTATGTACATATATACCGTTAGCTTTTATATTATACTTTAGCTTGCTTGTCTATATACTTATTATAGCGGCCACAAAGTAAATAAAAAAACCAAACAATGCATGCTCAGATAATTATGACAACAGCTCAGTGTCAATAGAGCACGACAGAATTGTGGAAAACCATAAAAATCGTTGCAAAAATACAGTCATTTGTTTTGGGAATTTTGATAACGGGGGTTTTATACTCTGCAAATGGTAAAAGCAGCAGAAAACATTTTATTGTTAAACTTATATACAAAAAAAAAAAAAAAAAAAAAAAAAACTCAATTGAATATGTAATAAATCTTAAATATGGCTAAATAAATATATTAAATATTTTATAAAATTTTTTTAATAAATTATCTTAAGTCTTCATCATCATCTGCAGTTGAAACTACCCAAGAAACTAGTTAGGGTAGCACAAAATCGAGTTCTAGCAATTGTGGGTATTGTATTTTTGGCAAAGCAATTAAGCCAAATTGTTTCTAGTGATAATTTTGAGAGTTGCAGAGCTCAGAGACTTGTGTCGTGGCTCAGTTTAGCAAAACTTTATAAAACAATATTCAATATTCAAAAAATAATTAAATGCTAATTTAACAAAAATCATATAGCAATTTGATTAGCATTTCTATTCCGATTTCCTAACTGAACAATATAAATCACTTGCAAACTGCAACTCACTCGATTCCCTGCCCATTTTTATCCCATCATAATTCATGCTAATCAACAACAATAATAATTGGCAAGCAATCAATTTCCACCCGGCAGCCAGCGGGTTGAATATGCCCGATTGTTTCGCATGCTCATTATAATCGAATTTACATGAAGTTGCTAACGAAAATCTTCTCATGAGCAAACCCGCAATCGAACCACTTGCAGCTGCAACAACTACAAAGTAAATCATATATATTTTGATTTAAGCACATGTTTGTGTGTGTGTGTGTGTGCCATAACAACAATTAAAGATATCTGTCAATGGGAGAAATGCCAAAAAAGAAAACTGGATATGTAAGACGTGTCTAAAAATAGACGTCGAATTGAGTTTTTCCGATGCACAGACCTGCAACTAAGGTAATTGCATGGTTAGCCGAAGCTGAAATAACCAATTGATTGGTTCAGCTTTATGTCCGATATTTCAATGGAAAATCGACTCAGGTTGCTCAGTTGCAGTTACAGTTACAGTCGGTTAGTCGGCTTCTCTCTCTCTCTCTCTCTCGCTGAGACAATAAACAATTGCAAGCGCACGGCCGTTGATTTATCTCGTGTTTAAGTTCTCCACATCCACTTGTCTAGGTTTTATTTGAGTGTCAGCTGCGCTAGCAACTGCACGCGCCATACGCAATCGCTCCATTGCGAATGCATTTGGAGTTACGATCCGAGTTCAGGTGATCTCAAATATCAAATTTTTTTAATATACTTCCGCCTCTGTGAGTGTGTCAACTCCATCAAGATGATTTTCGGCGGCTGCACACGTAAACAAGTGCTCACAATGGGTGCCTTGGCTGCTGGCGTTGTCCTGGCGATCGTTGCCATCGTCGTGTTCAACAGCCAGGCGGAGCCCAAGCTGCCGCCCTGGGTGCGACCCAACAGATTGCACAAGTGCCTCAAATCGCGGCCAAACACAACAGAGTCGACACTCGAGCTGGTGCATATTGTGTTCCGTCACGGCATACGCACGCCTGTCGACACCTATCCCAACGATCCTTACCTCAAGGACAGCTTCAAGCCCACCGGCTGGGGGCATGTGACCAATGTGAGTTGTTGAGATCTTAGATTTATATATATTTTTATACATTTTTGTTCGTCGAAATTGTGGCAAGTTAACGTAATTTATTTTATAACAATTCTTTTTAAAATATTAATACAAATACTTGAATAATTTCGCCATCTTCAAGGCTTAAAATTTGCATATTTTATAAAATATTTATTACATTAAAATATTTATTATTTATTTTAATTTGTATATTTTATAAAATATTTATTACTTTTAAATATTTATTATACAAATATTTATTATGTATTTTAATTTGTATATTTTTTAAAATATTTATTAATTTTAAATATTTATTAAAAAAATATTTATTTTTTCCCAATTGATTTACATTTTATATATTTTATTTCATAGTATTCTGATCGTCGCAATTTAGAATTTTATAAATAAAAAAATCTTTAAAAAATATTTATAATAGTTAGAAATTATTCTATAGAATCAAAATTTTAAGTATATATTATTATACAATATTTTCAAATCAATTTTAAATACATGTTTACATTTTATTTTGCAGCGCGGCAAGAAAGAGCTCTACGACATGGGCCGCTGGCTGCATCGACGCTACGGCGACTTTATGGGTCCCTTTTACAGACCCGACGTAAGTTTCACTCTTACTCTTAGCCATGCTATCTAAATATATATTCAATATATATACTGTCTAGCGCCTGCACGCTCAGGCAACGGCTTCGCCGCGTGCCATGATGTCGCTGCAGACGACGCTGGCCAGCATGTTTGAGCCGCGCGGCACGCCCATGGAGTGGAGCAAGCAGCTCAACTGGCAGCCCATACCCATAGTCTCAGAGCCGCTGGATCAGGATTCGGTAGGCAGGGTGATAAATATGTATAGCTCACAGAAATGAATAACTCGAAGGGTCTTCAACAGCTGCTGCTGGTTCGCACGCCCTGTCCGCGCTACTTCGAGGCACGGGACGAGGTGTTCCGGCTGCCCGAGGTGATTGCGCAGCAGGCGCCGTATGCAGACATGTTGCGGGAGCTGAGCAATCTGACGGGCATGGAGATGCGCAATGCGGAGGATGTGAACTCCTTGTACATAACTCTGCTAGCCGAGCAGGAGTTTGGCTACAAGCTGCCCGACTGGGCCAAGGACTACTTTCCCGAGCGCATGCAATTCCTGGCCGAGCAGAGCTACATCTACAATGCGTACACGCCCGAGATGCAGAAGATCAAGGGCGGCCCCTTCCTGCGCAAGATGTACGACGAGATGCTGGCCAAGCAGGCGGGCACGCTGAAGCCCAAGGACCGCGGCATGTTCATCTACACGGGCCACGACTGGACTGTGGGCAACATACTCTCCGCCCTGGGTCTCTGGAAGCGCCAAATGCCGCGCTTCGCCGTGATGGCCATCTTTGAGACGCATCGCAATGTCAAGACGGGCGAATACTATGTGGAGGTAATCCATTGTGAAGGTAATAATTTATTGAATATTGATATACCCTCTCCTTTCATCTCTGCAGATCTTCTTGCGCAACGATGAATTCGGCTGCCTGGAGCAGCTGAAGCTGGCCGACTGCGCGCTGCAGTGCCCACTGAGCCGCCTCGTCGAGCTGAGCGAAGCGGTGTTGCCCAACGAGCCCATGGAACAGCGCTGTCGCGCTCGTAACGCCGATTTTGTGGAACCGCCGCCACGCAAAATCGATCAGTAATCAATTTGATGAAACCGCAACGTAATGTGCTCAGTATACAGTATTAGATGGAGACAGCTGGTCACAGAATCAGCGATAAAAAAATAATAAAATAATAATAATAATCAAAAAATAAAAATTAAATTAAAATGAAAAATTCCAAAAATTTTAAAAATAAAATAAAATTTAAATAAAAAATCCAATAATTTTTCTTTTCTTCTGTGAATAAATTAGCTGTTTGTGCTAAGAGCTTTTGCCTTGACAAATTAAAATAAAAAAATTAAAAAAATATAAAATAAAAAATATAAATAAAATAAAATAAAAATTCCAATAATTGTTTTTATCATTTTTTTGACTTTTCTTTTCTTCTGTGAGTAAATTAGCTTTTGGTGCGTAGAGCTTTTGCCTTGATAAATCAAACTAAAATAATAAAATATAAAATATATAAAAAAAATAAAATAAAAATTCCAATAATTGTTTTTAGCATTTTTTTAATTTTTCTTTTCTTCTGTGAGTAAATTAGCTTTCGGTGCGTAGAGCGTTTGCCTTGATTATATTTAATTTGGTGTGCTACTAAAAGTTTTATTTTATTTTTTTATTCTTATAGTGCAGCAACTGTTTGCGTATCGTGCAACGTCTTCTCTCGCGCTTTTCGCTATCTGGGCAAACATTTTCTCGATTCTCTCGATTTTCGTTCTACATAATCGCGACTTAAAAGCCGCTCGGCTGCTCTCAGTGCAGTCACTAGACGAGCGAGTCTCGACGTCGCTGGAAGTTTGCACACCAAATAAAACGCTACATATACGTATATATACCTATTTGTAAGGCACATCAACTTATTTGATATGTGGCTCAAGTATACGGTTAGTCTGTGCGTTTGCCTGCTGCTTGTGCGCGCAGCCATTGTGCCCATCGAGGAGCCCAAGGATGAGCATAAACAAGGAGTGGGCAAATCAAACTCAACGCTGGAGCTTGTGCACTTGGTAAATAATTCTAAAGTCTCATAATTGCTTTCACTCTGCCTGGGAGATATATCAAAAATATATACATATATATGTACATCTATGTGCATATATTTATGTTTGTAAAGTAGCCAAAGTAATTTATAGACAGCGTCTAGGCTGTAGACCATAAAATTATGAAATGTGTGCTTCCACTTTTGTGAACTATTTAATCTCTATAATGAGACTATAAAGAGGCTCTAATTTAAGCACTCGTATAGTGTGCCTTTGTTATCAGTGAACATGTGTATGCAGGTTAAATGAGCTCAGCTTTAATTGAAATTCAGATAGAATCAAATATATTTCGGGCCTCACATGTGAATTGATGGAGTATTGAGTGAGTATTTATTGTCAGAGTTTCGTTTATCATAATAATTAATTTGTGCTCGCTCGGGCCGCAGGGCGTATACTTAACGCCAAGGCGCTTTTGGAAATGTGAATATATTTAAATATATATTTGAGTAAATGCATAAATTAGTTTTGAATTAATTTAGAATCCATTGTTAGAGCCTGATTTATATTCAATTATATTCGTTAGACAACTTGGGGCGCATGGCGTAAATTGGTTATCAAATTTTCAATTGAAATAGAAATGAACTTAGCTATATATTTATATTTGTATGTATATTAAAATCAATTGAAATGAATTTAGTTACCATAGCTAGAACTTGATTTATACTAATATTAATTCGCTCTGCCTTATGCAACTTGATCCAGTTTAAGCCACATGGCGTATACTTAATGCCAAGTGGTGTTAACATGATTTCAAGCTAGCCAACCGGTTTGTTAGGCAAATTGAAAAATGTTTGTGCAAAACTAATTACTTTAATGTATTCCTAATTGGAATGCAACAAGCAAGCAACTACATAAAAAATTTTAGTTAATGAGCCACTCAAAAAACACAAGTTGATAATTGATGAGTGTTAAATATACCCTGTGGCAATATGTAAAAAATATATACTTAATAATTTTTAAGCCAGTATTAGCTTAATGGAAATTTTTTTTTATTTAAACTTTCATTATTAATTGAGAATTAATCAATCAATATGACAATTAATTGATATATTTACAGGGAATTTTTGTATATATACCCCATAGCAATGTGTTAAAAATATATATACTAAATCAGTTTTAAGTGAATATTAGTTTCATGGAAATTTATAAAGATTTAATTATCCATTTATTTCTCACATTTCATTTAATGTTAAATATACCCTATAGCAATGTTTAAAAAATATATATACTAAATCATTCTAGGAGAGTTTTAGGTATTAATAATGATTTAATTTTTTTATTAATTTAATATATTTACAGGGTATTTATTTCTCACTATTCTTTTAATTCTTGTATTTAATATTAATTTGTATTTATTACATTTGCATCGCATGCACAGCTGTTTCGACATGGCCCACGCACTCCCGTCAACACATACCCCAAGGACCCGCATATTAACGAGACCTATGAGCCCTACGGCTGGGGTCAGCTGACGAATGCAAGTGAAATGAGTTAAAATCAAATATATATACGAAATATACTTAATTCGTACTCCCATTCAACAGGAGGCCAAGGTGGAGCTCTACAAGATTGGCAAACAAATGCGCAAACGCTACAAAAACTTGCTGTTGCCCTACTATAAGCCAGATGTGAGTTGTTCGATGTGATCTTGGTCTAATGCATGATTAATTGATTTATCTACTTCAGCTGCTGCACGCTCAGGCGACGCAGTCGTCACGCACCATCATGTCCCTGCAGATGGTGCTGGCTGGCATGTTCCCGCCAGAGAATACGCCCCTGGAGTGGAACATGATGCTCAACTGGCAGCCCATACCCATCTACACGGAGCCGGAGGCCAGCGACAAGGTAAGCCATGCCACACCTGCCAGCCTTGCCTGCAGGCCCATTCATATGGGGTATTCATATAAATCCATTCGCAGATCCTGCGCCAGAAGGTGCCCTGCCCCCGGTACGAGGAGGCCGTCTGGGAGGTGATGCACACGCCAGAGGTGCTCGCCTTGCACGAGAAGAACGCCGAGCTGCTGCAGGAGCTGAGCGACTTGACGGGCCTGAATGTGACCTATGCCCATGACGTGACGGACATCTTCATCTCACTGCAGACCGAGCTGGCCTACGGCCTGAAGCTGCCCGAGTGGACCAAGCAGTACTTCCCCGACAAGATGCGCCCGCTGGCAGCCAAGGCGTACAGCTATGATGCCTACACGCCGGAGCTGTGCAAGCTGAAAGGTGGCTACTACCTGGAGGACGTCTACAAGCACTTGCAGGCCAAGATTGACGGCAAACTGGAGCCAGCGGGCAGAAAGCTGTTCATCTCCTGTGCACACGACTGGACCATATCGAATGTGCTCAGCGCCCTGAATGTGTGGGGTGACAGAATGCCCCGCTTCTCGTCTCTGATTGCCATCGAGCTGCATCGGCGCGCAGAGAGCGGCGACTACTTCGTCGAGATCTACCTGCAAAACGATCCCAGCAAGCCGCCAGAGCTACTGCAGGTGCCCGGCTGTGAGGAGCAGTGTCCCATTGAGAAACTGCTAAAGCTCTCAGAGCCTATCCTGCCCGACGCGCCCTACGAGCAGCTGTGCCTGGCCAAGGGCACCGGCGACGGCACACGCATCACTTACCACAACTGAGCGGCCCTCAACTTAATCTAGCAGTATTAACTAAACTTGATATACATATATATGGATGTGGTTTATATATATGGAGTGTACATATGTAGATAATAATATATATTAAAGTCTTTTTGATTAGTTTGCTGTTTGATTGATTTACACGCCAACACGAAGAGCCTGGGTCAATCGGTAAATGGATGTGCGTGCCGTACTCCAGCTAGCAGAGGGTAGCTACAAAAGTCTTATGGGCCCAGTTAAGCTTATGCTTATATGTTTCTCAGATAAGATAAGACTCTAAAAGGTGTAAGCAAATTAAATTGATTGAGGGAAGAAAAGCTTTTAGTATTTAATAATAAAAATATTATAATTTGAACATAAAATGATCTATATAACTATAAATTGTCTATTTTCATACATAATATTAAATATAGAAGAAAAGCTTAGGGCATTATAAATATTAAAATATTAATTCCATTCGATATACTCTATCAATATTTACCAATTTTTTACCAAGTACCACGCACAAAGAGAAATTTAAAAATTATATTTATTTATAATAAATATTTTTACAAACATTTTTATTTTATTTAATTTTTTTTTTATATATTTTAATGTATTTTTTAATTTGTTTTGTTTACTATTTTTCTCTTATTTTTTGTTTATATACATATATTTAAAATTTGTTATGTGTTTCGTTTATATATTTTTGTTTAAATTAATCTAATTTATTTTCTTTTGCTTTAAATGGTTTCTTATAACTTTTGTTTATATTTTAAATATATGAATTTTGTTTATTTTCTTTTTGTAAGTTTACATTTGTTTTTTTTTTTTTTAAATATTTTTTGATTATTTATTTTTATGTTTTGCATTTCTTTTATTTATTTATATATATTTTTGTTATTTGTTAGTGTTATATATATTCTTTTAACCTTGGATTTATAAAGCACTGATTGAATTTTCTCTAGATTATCTTCTTTTATTTTCACATATTGATTGAGCTGCCCCCACCATGAAATGCAGCACACGTGCTGTAATTTTTTTTTACTTACAACTTTCTTATAAAGCAAACTGTAGTTGATCTTTGAGCAAACAGTTGGCAATCGAACATTTTGTGGCAAAGATTTTCTATATAGAAGTGAATTTGATAGAGAAAAGGATGCAAAGAGCTTCCGTGAGATGTGAATTTATCTATGCCAAATTGAGACGTAATTAACATAACAATAAACGAACACAACAACAACATGCATAACATTAAATAATTAACATAAGTTCGATAAAACGAACAAAACAAAGCAAGAGACGAAAAATGAGCAGCGATTTATTACAGCTCCGAGATGGTGACGAATTTTTGGGGCTCCATAAAAAATTATGCAGCTGTGTCGAGTGTGTGTGTGTGTGCGAGTGTGTGTGTGGGTATTTAATATGTAAATCGCGATCGCGTTTTAAAACGCCTCAAATGTTGCGGCATTGTTGTGTCGACTGCTCAATGTACGATCAGTTACGAGCCACGCAACACACACAATAGACACACTCGAGAACACAAATAAAAGTAATAATAGTAGACGACGGTGACGAAAGCGATAATGAAACGATAAAAGACATATGTTCTGCGGCTCGGCCGGCCGCCGCCATCCACTCTGAGAGACAGTACGGCACAAGTGCTCTGCTGAACAGCTGAGCTAGCCGATATTATCCGCCTGCAGAGGCTTATCAGTTTATCAGTTTAGTTTCTGAAGACGCGTTTGCCATGGACAAACAAATAGTATTCTGTTTATATTGATGATAAGAGCAGGAATAAGACAAATAGACCTATTTGAATGCCGATGAAAGGGGCGGTCTCTAGAAAACCCGTTCCATAACGACTTTGCAAATTAACAATAACACGTTTTATTTTTTGGCTTTTTTGTTGTTTTTGTTTTATGAACAGCATAATTAAAAACACCGACAATGCCCGCAAAAACCAAAAAAGAATCGAGTTGTTTGTGCTTCTTCTGATTGTTGTGTCTGTGGCCGTACAGATCGCGTCTACGTTTCGGGGCTCTGCTATTGGCGCCAAGCTAATATACCTACACTCATATACTTACAATAAAAACGGAGAACTGCGAACGGTGAACGGTGAACGGTGAACGGTGAACGGCGAACGGAGAACCCCCCTCCAAGCTCGAGCATCGACTAGAGCCATATAAAGCGTCTCCGCCAAAATGCCGCGTTCACATTTTACGCGAAGGCATTGTCTAGCGATGACGGGCGCCTTAGTTGCATTCACGTTGCTGATCTTGTGTTTTACACACTCCACACTCATCTCCGGCAAGATCACTGATCCCGGCACCGACGAGTCTACGCTTGAGCTGTTGCATGTGGTAAGTCCGTGCGTCAATCGCCAATCGACATCAGACAAAAGACAAAGCACGAGTGCATAAAACAGCTGTAACAGCTGTAACAACAGCACACAGCTGCTCTTATTACACTGTCGAACAGGGCTCGAGCAAAGCTGTTAAGCTTTAAGCTATTGTAGCTGATAAACGATTAGAGTTTGAGCTGAGCAGCCGTTGAAGCTTCTGAGCGGATTCAGATTTGCTATGGATATGAAATAAGCAGAGCTTCAATAAGGCCAAAGATATGATATTCTGAATAGGCTTTTATTAAATAGACAGGTGCATAAATATTTAAAAACAAAAGTTAATCTTTGGCCTACAAATCGTAACAAGTTGGAATAAAAGCAACAATGCTCAAAAAGTGTTTTATTTAATTTGTATAAATTTATATTAAAAAGTATAAAAGGTGTAAAATATTTAATCTTCAACTCAGTGAAAAAGAATCTCTTGTCTATTTTAATTAATAGAAAACTTTATAAAAAAGAAAAAATGAAAGTGTACAAGTTTTCGTTATTCTTCAATACAGTGAAAATAGAAAAACCAAAAAATTCGATAGCTAATTTAAAGCCCTAATACTAAACCTTACTTCAAGACAGTTTCAAGTAAATATTATATCTCGAATATATAATTATCTATATATATTTAATATAAGCTTCTCAATATATACACCAGTACACCTTATCGAACCAATTGACAATGCTCAGGTCAGGTGTTAGTCACTATTACGGCTATTATTATCGTCACGTTTGGCCAAGAGAAACCAGCTGATAATACAGAAATTCATTTTCAGCGCATTGACACTGAAAGTGAATGACATTTAGAGAAAAAATAAAAAAAAACAAAAATATTTTGCTGATAAATATACACAGCTGGCAGTTTTTCGTTCAGCTGACCCGTTTCTGAAGCTCAGTGTAGGGTTGCGTATAATTACTGCATGGAATAATAAAAATTTAGTACGCGTCGAGCGGAGGTAATAGACGAATGTCGCGCGATAAGACCGCAGCACGAACGGACAATAAATGTCTAAAATAATAAGCAAAATCAGAATGGGAAGTAAAGGCGTATCGAAAGGCAGAACACCCATGTTAGCTATTCCGAAAGGTAATACGCCGCTAATATATGTGTTTAGTTAACTATGATACCATCAACTAAAATTGTCCACATTAAATCAAATCAAAACAATTCGAATCAAATTAGAGTGACTCGTGTTGTATCAGCTGCTTTTAATTGATCTATAATTGAATCGTGCAAGTGATTTATTAATAGAACAACATTTCCATCAATGCTGTGCACTGGCTAATAGAAAATAGTCGATTCTATCATGAACTAATAAGCAGCCAACCGTGAAGTCGTGTAAAAAAGCGCCATTATGGCTTTGACTGTGAATATATATGTATATGAATTATATATGTGCATAGATATATATGTATATGTACATGTGTTTATATAATATATACATATTTTGTAAAATCTAATGGAAATATTAGAGCTGGCAGAAGCTCGTGTTTTTCATTTTTTATGTGAGAGTACAGAAAAATTTATACATTTAATATAATGAAAAATAGTTTTACTTTATGAATTGCGAATTATTTTGCGTAAAAAATTAAATATCTGTTTAAATATTTTTGTTGGCTGACCAAATCTCACACACAAATAATTTATTTAAATTTAAAAATTTTTAAAATTTTTTGTATAAAATATTTATTTTATAATCTAAATATAATTTAAACACAGTTTTTATATTTTAAAAAGTTTAATAAATTTATTATTACCAAAGAAAGTAAAATAAAGGTTGCCAAAAAAGTATTTAAAAATATATATGTGTATGTATATAGTTATTAAAATCATTTAAATCAAAATAAATTAAAAATACATTTTCATAATTAAAATTTAAAATGGAGTCGTTCTCAAAAATTGCAGTACATAAAGAGTGTAAAATTTCAATTAAATGTAATAATATATTTAATGTCAAAGTGAATCACCTGAACAATCTCGCCCATCTCTAAGTACTACTTAATGGGTTAATAGCTTCTCTAATTGCAACGTTAATGCATCATATGCTAATAGCTGTTTCAGCTTTTGTTTCACGCGTATTTCTGGTATTTTACAAAAATATTCAATTGCTATTAATACATTTTTAACCTTACTCGCATTACAAACGACAGTAAATTAAGTTGAATTTCACTCTCTGAGCTCTCCAAACTGGTTCATAAATCAGCATTGAGTGAGCATCATCCAAGCTAAAAAAGAAACACTAAAGCAACAACAGAAGCAAAAATCCAAATAAATTTTAAATTTCAAACCAGCTACATGCCTAATTACAATTTTTTAGCCACTCGTTTCGCCTGGCCAAATAGCAAACGAACTAAAAATAAAACCAGTTAACCAACCTTTTTTTTTTTTTTTTTTTTTGTTTATGGCAGCATGACAAACTGCGACGCACTTTTTTGTTATATAAACAATATTTGAAAACATCGCCGAGCTTTAATATTGATGGTCCGAAAACCTAATTAACTGATATAGAGATTAACAGAGTCCGCGTCCGAGTCCGAGTCAGAGTCAGGTCCGAGGCTGCTGACCTTCAGGCTTATCAGTAAACCGGCCACGCGTTACTCAAAACGTAGCACCAATACTTCCGCATCTCTGTAATGCTGATGCCAGCTCAAACGTGCATGACCAGCTCGGTGTGGGTTGAGGCATAAAGTCGCTCTCCCTCTCACTCCCTCCTTCTTTCTCC